TATAATACATAGCAATCTATTTATCATAGATCCCGTCTCTTCGATCACAAGATGCCCCTCTTCAATTACAATGAGATACCTCATTGTATTTCAACTTGCCGGCGTTCACATTCACAATAGAACATACATATTAATATTCTATTTTATTCAGACTCCTTTTCTACTACACATAAGTGCTCAGGCCTGAGACTTAAGTTTAGAGTTGTGCAAATAGAAAAGTACAAGCGTCTAACAAGAATATTATATATATATACATATATTGTCTTCTCTCTGGTCGTGTTTTAAATCATGATTGCAACCATGATTTCTATCTTTTTCAACACCCGTCTTTATTTTCTGTCCAGCTCTGCTCCATTTATAATTAGAATAGATCCTGTCCATTCTATTCCTAAGATGCTCCTCTTTGCCAACAATGAGATAATTCATCGTGTTTCAACTTTCCCTCGTTTAGATTTCCCATAGAACATACATATAAATATTCTACTTAATTGGGACTCCTTTTCTACTACACATAAATGCTCAGGCCTGAGACTTTAGTTTAGAGTTGTGTAAATAGAAAAGTGCAAGCGTCCGAGAAGAATATTATATACATATATATCTATTCCATTTACTGTGACCGTGTTTCAAATCATGATCGCAACCATGATGTATATTTTCCCTATGATTTTCATATGATTATATTAAAATTTAGTCCTTTCAATGCTGCTATTGAGTTGCCACTTTTCACTCAATAGGATTGATGTGATGGCTATCGCATTGTTCAAGTGATGACAGACATAGTGTGACTACAAATTGACATTAAATTCTTGTGGAAACATTGCTCAGGCCTGAGTCTTTTATTATTATACAATAGTCAAGTAGTCTTATGAAAAGACCGTAGTCTGTCTCACATTCGATATTATGTTTCAACAATGAATCATCATGGATCCATTTCATATTATATTTTTATGTTTCTCCTATGTTAAAGATCTTCATTTCTTTATTGAATAAATATTATTTTTATTCTTTCTGTTTAATTCAGAGCAGATCAGTAGTAGTGTATATCGATCAGTATTGATATACGCAAGTCATCATTTCTGTCTGACTATGATAGTAGAAAGGTTTTGAATTATAAGTAATCTATTATATGATTATATAGGAAAAGCAGTGACAGCATCTACTTAGCATACATAACTAATAATAAATCAATATAAACAAAACCATTTTCCCCATTTGATTTTTGTTCAATCACTTTAAACAACATACATTTCATATCAAACAGGTGAAGTGACAATATTTGTTGATGAAAAATCAGCAGATTTTCAATCTAACGAATGCTATCATCTTACTCTATTTGTATTATTATTCAATATGAATCGAATTGCTTCTTTTTATGAGAAACAATCAAACATGATTTAGTCTTGAATATAAATGTTGATTGATTTTCATAAGTGAAACAGATAGAAAGCCTCTTATGTGTACAGGATCGTGTGGAAGATCAAAATCTATCCAATTTGTATCGTGGAAACAAATGGACATATGCGTGCCAATGTCAATATATTTCATGATCTTCAATTGATCTGCTAGTAATATTTTGTTATGAGCATAATTATGTTCACATTACTAGCGCTGTACAGAAAAGATCAATGTATATGTGTTGCATAAAGCAACGTAGTTTCTATCTATCATCTTACTCAAATCTAGACAACGCCAATACATGAAGATAGAGAACTGATCAACTGTATTATAAGCCCCATGTGTTATGTCAAATATCACCAGACAAATCATTTATTAAATGTATGTGTTTATTCATTACCCAGCTCCAATGCACATTTAAACTTTTCTTTTCAATCACCAATCACATATATAAACCACTAGAAATGTCTCATATATGTGCAAACATGAAATCATCGACATTCACTAGTTGATATTTTCAACAAGACAAAACTTTACTGTGATTCCATGCGTCGTTCACACACAACAAAAGACAACTTAGTCACAATGCATCCATTTGCAATATCCATGCCCATCTAGATCTTCATGCACATTTTCTATATGACACTAATACCTTCATGTCACAAAAGAACAACAACTAAATCTTTTCATTCCGTTGACCACATATACACATGATCGCCTTCGTTCGAATCTGTTTAGTAGAACATAAAATAAATTATAATAAATACACTAGCTATTCGGTACATGCCGTAACACGATAATGATGATAACCATGACGGTCTGAATTGTGTTACGGCTACTGATCCTACCTGGCGGCCTCCATCACCTGTGTGTCAATCATGACACATGGAGGGTGGAGGCCTGGACCGGAAAGGCCTGGTTGTGGCGGCCTGGAAAATGGTAATGAATGTCTGTGGTTGCTGTGGCATGCCTGCGGGATGCCGTCATGAAGGATTAAGAAGGTCTGTGGTTGCTGTGGGATGCCTGTGGGATGCCGTCATGAAGGGAAAAGAAGGTCTGTGGTTGCTGTGGGATGTCTGCGGGATGTCGTCATGAAAGGAAAATAAGGTCTGTGGTTGCTGTGGGATGCCTGCGGGATGCCGTCATGAAGGAGAGAGAATCTTTATGAATGCTGGAAGTGGGCTGCAATGTGGCTATGCAGTGCTAGAGTGATGCTATAACGTGCCTGTGGAAGCTCGGAAGTTGTGAGAAAATACATATGCCATTGGATTGCTGTAGAGACAAGCCTGTGGATGTAGGCTAGATATTGGGACAAAGCTGGTCTTGGCTACGAAAATGCTAAGGTAAGCCTAAGTGGTGCTGGAAGTTGCCTGGTGGCTTTGTAGTTTTAGGTGTGACTCTGGTATAGACGTCGCTCGAGGCATAGATGTCACTGCTGGTAAAGTTGTCGGTGCAGGTATAGATGTCGCTGGGGGTATAGATGCCGCTGGAGGTATAGATGTCTCTGGAGGTATAGATGTCGCTGGAGGTATAGATGTCGCTGGAGGTATAGATGTCGCTGGAGGTATAGATGTCGCTGGAGGTATAGATGTCGCTGGAGGTATAGATGTCGCTGGAGGTATAGA